TATTCTATTCTGTTCTGTTCTGTTCTGTTCTGTTCTGTTCTGTTCTGTTCTGTTCTGTTCTGTTCTATTCTATTCTGTTCTATTCCTATATTCAAGTCTGTTCTGTTCCGTTCTATTCTATTAGTATTCTATTCTATTATATCCTATCCTATTCTTCATTCCAATTTCTATTCTATTCTATTCCATTCTATTCTATTCTATTCTATTCTATAGGAAAAGAATCACATTGATTGCAATAAAAGTTCACAAACAATATTTTCAACAACAAGTCAGCCAGGTATTAATCAAAACATGTACCAAGAAGCCAGCAAAAATTAGAAATGATTGACTGGGCTCCCCTCTCTTTGCCAGCTTCCTTGTGAAACTGACAACAACTAAGACACAAAAACAGGCATCGGGAAACCTCCGGTAATGCCATAGGTCAGATTAGTAAGTTTTCAAAGGCCGGCTGTGAATCATCTCGTACCAAGGAGGGCAAATGCAATTTTGGCTCAAACATGGCAAAGGAAATTGACCGAGTGTGAACACAAATCTTGTGCAACCAATCGCAAAGATCGGCAGGGTGTAAATAACAAAATTTCCTTTAATAAATATCTGAGGCAGCTTTTATGTGCTGAGTTTGGGATGGACTCCTGTCCCAAGCATGTGAGGCTTCTGCAGAAATAAGCAGCTGGAGAGAGAAAAAAATATTTGTTTTCCTCATTGCAGAGCGATTTATTAGCCATGGGGGGTGGGGGGAACAGTTTGGAGCTGAAGAATCAGCCATCAGGCCTACATGGATGATCCTGCCTCTGTTGCAGTTGTCTTAAGGGAAGCCATTTTGGGAAGGAGCCATCGACAAAGCAACTCAGAGTAGACCTCTGTTGGCTTCTTCTCTTCCCACTTTCAGTGACTTCTCTTCAAAGCTAATTTCTCCCACAGTGTCCCTGTCAATCTCCAAAGCAGCTGTTGTACAACCCGCCCTTATCCTCATCCCTGAAATTATCCCGTTTTCTGGGATCACCCAATCTGTTGAGGCATAAATTGGCTAAGTACCCAACTGCATAAACCCATTTTAAATAAACAGACCCAAGCTCAAGAGAGGTTAAAATTAAGTAAATATGCCAGATTTTTGAATGATTAGGTTAAATGGATGGGGGGTTCGATTCCCAGATTTTGCCAGCAAGGAGGAGGAAGAGGAAGAGAGAGGGAGGGAGAGAAGGAGAAGAAAGAAGAAGAGAGGAAGAGGAGAAAGAGGGGGAGGAGGAAAGAGAGGGAGAGGAGGAGGAGGAAGAAAGGAGGAGGAAGGGAGGGAAAGAAGGAAAAAAGAGAAAGAGCAGGAGGGGGAAGAGGAAAGGGAGGGAGAGGAGGAAGAGAAGAAGAAAAAGAAGAAGAAGAAGAAGAAGAAGAAGAAGAAGAAGACCACCTCAACAACCAGAATTTCCCATTGAAGCAATTCCTGGGAGCTGAAATCCACACATCTCAAAGTCACTGTGTTTGAAAAACTCTGGTCTAGATGATCTAAGATTAGATCTTGCAGTCTGGAGGTTCTTCATCCTGCTAAATTCAACTTTCCCTTAATACTAAAGTTGGAATTAAAATTAAAGATCTACTTCCACTGTTGTTTTTTGCTTCACGGCATCCATTATTTCTGCTGGCTGGAGGCCTCTTGGAGAAAATCCAGGCGTTTGTCAAAATATTATGGCATACTTTCATCTCCAAAGATTCTGGTTGGCACAGGAAATACAGGTCTTTCTTTCAGAAAATACACCAAAGGGTCAGGAACCAGCGCGAGGAAACCTCTAATCCAAAAAAGTAAACTCTGGAACAAATTACACCCGGTTTCATAATCTGAACTCTGAACATTCTGCGTTAAAATAACCACTCTCTCTACATTTGACAAAAGCATCAACAGGAAGGAGAATGTGAGTTTTATTTAGTGTTCTCAGCCACAAGATTGAGACCTTGTGACACATTCGTTCAGCAGATGGCCACCGTTTTGCAGTACTCGGGACTCCAGAGACCATAACAGATGCTGTTGGTGATGGATCCTTTCTAGCAGAAAATCCCAAAGCCCATATCAGCGCATATGCTAAGACCTATAGTATTTGTGACCAGCCTTCCCTACCAAAGGACCATCATCAGCGCTTAAAAGTCTTCTGCCACTTCTTTCTAGCATTGATGATATTATCTAGTTTGGTAAATGAAATATCTTCAAGAAAGCAACCAAGCTCAGAGACCACCAAGGACGCCACAGTTGTCACCACACTCTAAAAAAGATGTTGAGACTCTAGAAAGAGTGCAGAGAAGAGCAACCAGGATGATTAGGGGACTGGAGGCTAAAACCTATGATGAACAGTTGCAGGAACTGGGCCTGGCTGGTCTAGGGAAGAGAAGGACCAGGGGAGACAGGAGAGCATCTTCCAATATTTGAGGGGCTGCCCCAGAGAGGAGGAGGAAAGGGGTCAAGCTATTTTATAAGCACCTGTAGATCAGATAAGGAATAATGGATGGAAACGTAACAAGGAGAGATTGGAAATAAGGAGAAACTTTCTGACAGTGAGAACAATCAACCCATGGAACAGATGTTGCCCTCGGAAGTTGTGGGAGCAACATCACTGGAAGCTTCCAAGAAGAGATTGGACTGCCATTTGTCAGAAATGGTGTAGGGTCTCCTGTTTGGGCAGGGGGTTGGACTAGATGACCTACCAGGTCCCTTCCCACTCTGATTATCTGTAATTTATCCTCCTCCTCCTCCTCTTTGCAAACCCCCTTTTTTCTAGCACCGATGCTGTTCTCTTGTTGGACCATGAAATGTCTGCAAGAAAGCAACCAAGCTCAGAGAGCACCAAAGGACCCCTAAATCAAATAAATTTCTTTCCACGGAAGCATCTGGGCCACGGTGAGGACCTTCCTCGGGGTTCCCACAAAATTAGCAAAGCAACATTGCTGTCCCCCCACGATGGAAATCCTGGTTTCATGTGATGTCCTCATGAAGTTTTCCACCAATGGCCCAACCTCCCTTCAGCACAACACACTACGTGAATCTGGTCTTCTTGGAAGACTCTTTGGTGGCTTGGTGAATTTTGTCCTGTTTTCCTCCTCTAAACTGCACCCCCTTGACCTACATGGAATAAATAACATCTGAACCCAGTCCAGCCTCGTGGACGGAGGCCTTGGTCATGCTCCTTTGGTTGCCCCGTGCCCTGGCGAAGGCAGTGACCGAGTCCCGACCTTGGCTTGGCTTGGAGGTAGCCATGGCTCAAATCCCGGGGGCAAGGAGGGTCTCCCGAGGAGCCTTTCTCCTTCTAGTAAATGTCAGGCATTAATCGTTTGCTCAGGGACCCACGCCCAAGAGGAGTTTGGCCCCGGTGGGTTAACGAATGACTTATTGTCCCGTTAACACCGGCTTCTCTTGCATAAAACCAAGCATTGTAAACCCCAGAAAAGCAAGCAGGCAAACAGATAGAGTCTTTCCTAAGACAGCTGCCTTCCTGTGCCTCTTCCCCCAGCTGCAA